ATCAATAAACTTACATTTATTACACGGCACAAATATTAATTTGTTTTATTATTTTCAAGAAACAGGGTAAAATATTCTTTTGATTCAGGCATTTTTCAATAAATCAAGATTTGTACTACGATGTAACGTTAAAATGTTTATTTATCTATGTCGATTTTCTCGTTGATATCGGTACGCATACAACGACAGATGTCTATTCACATACACGACGGATAATCACAATCGACCCGTATAGAATGATATCACCAATCGAGAGCGAATGACGAATCATTGGTACTCGACTCTTATCTATCTTAACTGCCGTAACGCACTTCCGTTGCATTAGTACGGATTTACCCCTAGTCGCGCCTAAAGAAGTAAAGGGTCCGTCATATAACTTTTTTTCATTGGTTGCAATTTAGAATTTTTGACAGCCATTTAAAAGTTAGACAGCCATTTCAATGAAATTATTTTCGATTATTAACCAGAAGGATTGCACTTTCAAATAGAAAAGATTTAGATTGAGAAAATATTCTGTAGTTTATATATAGCATTTTCAAAAGAAAAAAAAGTTATCTGGCGGACCCTATATATAATACTTCAACAAAGTATATAATATCATAAAAATTATTAAACTCCAAATGTCCTTTACCATATGTCCTTTAGCAAAGGCCAAAGACAGCTGACAAAGTACAAAAGCAGCCCAGAAGAAGACCTCGCTCGAGCGAATCCTCGTCATCGGATGACGACGACAAAGATCGACGTCGTAAAAAAGATAAAAAGAAAAAGAAAAAGAAAAAAAAGAAAAAAAATGAGGATAAGAAGAAACGTAAGAAGAGCAGGAAACGCCACGTTACGAGAGAAAAGGGTAGAATTGACCTCGACGATGAAGATGAGGAGGAGGTCGATAGTGATGTTTGTCCTTGTTGTGAAAAAGGAGAGGAGTGCAGTGCTCCTAGTGCAGGTAAATAGATAGAAGACATATATAATATATATATATATATATATATATATATATATATATATACTAGATGACCCTACAACTTTGTTCTGTACCCACATCTACATTTTTTAATATCCTATACTAATATTTACCGTTTACCTAAAAATAATTATTATTGTTTTTCAATTTACTATTTACATAAATATATGAGTGAATGTTAAATGTAGAACTGCTTCAAATAAAATGATGATTCTCAATTCTCACAGTTAACACTTTAATTATTCCTTTAACAAATATTAAAATATGTTCCATAAAATTGTATATCAAAAATTATACACTGCAATTTGTAGAACAAATTTATTTCCAATAGCTCGATTTATTTTAATGCCAAGGGTTATACAATATTTTTAGTCATACCTGTAGATGTGGATGTATAAATGAATGTTTTTTGTTTATTCACAACTAAAACATTGATTTTCCAAATTTTTTGCACAAAAAATCATCGTCTACCTTTCTGATTTATAGCATAAGATATACGTATTGAAAATTGAAGTCTTTTAAAGGGTATAACAAATTCAGAAAGAATAATTATTTAAATTATTATAATTAAATTAAAAAGCATTGTAAGCGTCTTTTATTTGCATGATAGCTCACTCATTTTACACGCGGAAGTAAAGCTTATTTTGAGGACTATAAAACCCCATTTCCATACCTAGCCTAATATTGTTTCTAGAACACTTAGAACACCGATTTATTAAGATTTTGATCATTACATGATCTTCGTTAAATGTATGTAAGGTTTGTGCGGGACAATTCCGGATTTCCACCTTGTGTCCCGGGTTTTTTTTAAAGCATTATTTGTTCCGGATTTAGATCTTTTGTCCCGGATTGTCTCGGGTTTTCAAAAAGTGTATATTTAAAAATAAAAAATGTCATCCTCTCGGAAAATGGCAAAGGAGTCTAAATTATTTTCATGTTTGAACTTGAGAGTAAGATGAACCTAATTCCAAAAATTGATACAAATTGGAGCACAGTAAAAAAATTCTGACACAAAACGCTCCATTGACTTGGGTAAATATTCCGTATCCAATGTAAAACATACTAATTTTTGACACAATGAAACTTCTAAATAATTTTTTGAAAGCAAAACACGACTGCATTAGTTAAAAAATAATAATCTGTCAAATTGAATCATATGTGCAATCACTGACAGTCTACAACCCTCAGACGCATGTTGATTGTATTTTATTATATTATTTTAATTTTTGGCACATTTCAGCTGCTTTTCGGCAATAATAATGCAGACATTACATTTTTCTTATTCATAATAATAAATATATTATATTTTAATATTGCCTTAGCCTGTAAGTGAATGGAAATGTTTGGCAAATGACAATCTTCATTTGTTTTTAATATCAAACAATGCCTGAAATATTTTCAATGTCAATCAGTGATAAGCGGTTTTTGTAATTTTTTCCATTTATTTCTGCAATCTAACTATATTTCTATGAATAAAAAAATCCTAGAAAATTCCCTTAACAAACTTCAGAAAGATTTATGAAAATCCGAATAATCGTTTAGGAGGATTAACCTTTTATATCCCATTAGAGAAGAATTTTATATATAAGATATATATATATATATATATATATATATATATATATATTTATATATATATATTATAATTGCAGATCCAGTCGGTTTCACCATGCTGGATACAAAACACAAGTGCCCCAATTGCCAATGTGATAGGAGACACCGGCATTATCCACGGGATGGTAAAATATTTTAATTATCAAATAATTTACGAATTAAACTAGTGGTGTATGGCATCGTGCTTTAAGGCAAATTGCTGGAACTTACCGTACCGTAATGAAATATTCGAGAAATTTTAAACGTTTTCAAATATATTATTACAAATACTGTAACTTTCATTATTTTTACTATCTTATTGTTATATCTGAGCAAATCAAATGTAAATCATAAATCATAAATCAATTTATCTCCAGAACATTAACAACAATCGTCATTTCATTTCGAATTCAATTCAAAAAAAAAAATAGTTGCCTTAACTTGCACAAAAAAAATTGCTCCCGTATAGTCACAGTCTGAACGCATTTTCAAATAATTCTGTGCGACATTTTCACTTATACTGTGCTTAGCTTGGCGGCATTTTCACGTTTTTTAATAGTTTTCACAAAATTGGAAAAGTGTTCCATTACATAAACAGTCTAAACGCACTTGGGTCAACATTTGTACCAAAGTAGCGCTTAGACTGTGCTTAGCCTTTTTGAATTTTTAATCCAAAATTGCAAAAATATTTTTATATCATTCCTATAACTACCCTACGGGAAGTTAATGATTATAATTTCAATATTTTTGTTTAGATTCTACAGATGAAGAAATGAATCCGTGCTGTCGGTCTTTTGTAAGGATATGTCGGAGAAAACGTAACAAGACTTGTGTAAGTAACTTTTAAATCTAAAATACAAATTAAGGGATTTTTTTATTAAAATATAATATATTTATTATTATGAATAAGAAAAATGTAATGTCTACATTATTATTTGTATTTTTCAGCAAAAACACTGTCGTGCCAAGTCGCCCCGTAAATTGACTCATCTAAGATACGTATCGCCTTCGCAAAAAGATTAATTTGTAACTAAATGTTTTGATTTCAGTATATGTAATGTAAAAAACAAAAAATATACATCCCTTCTGCCATAATATAAATATAAATGCATATGCCAAATGAATTGATATTATTTTTAAATAAGCCAACTCTGAAATGCGTTTGCAAGAACTGGAAAGCATTTTATAAGACAGAATAAATTAACCATAATTTGAGAATTGAGAGTGTGATTAATATATTTGCATCTTTTTATATCGGAGTGTATAAAAGTGTTTCTTAGGATACGTAGTAAATTTTATCTAGTTTTACCCTACCTAACTGAAAAGGGTTGGTTCCATATGAAATTTTTGAGTTATTTGACAAAAACATATATATATATATATATATATATATATATATAACCATGTATAAATCGATATATACATTTATATATTTAATTCCCATACAAACTAAGGCAATTAGGACATATATAATCATGTATAAATTGATATATACATTTATATATCCAATTCCCATACAAATTGGGACAGCTAGTATATATATAATCATGTATAAATCGATATATACATTTATATTTCCAATTCCCATACAAACTAAGGCACTTAGGCCATATATAATCATGTATAAATTGATATATACATTTATATAACCAATTCCCATACAAACTGAGACAGCTAGTATATATACAATCATGTATAAATCAATATATACATTTATATATTCGATTCCCATACAATATGGGACAGCTAGTATATATATATGAGTCGTTGAGAACTGTCAAACGTTTGCCGACGGTGGCTCCATCTAACACAGAACCATATGAACCCGGTAGTCACTACGTAGTTCCTCACGATTTGGGAACAATTTAACATAGAGGCGCTGCATGCAATCTCCTTAGAAAAGTAGGAATCTTAGTGGATTCCCATTGGATTCTTTTATACGCTATTTGATATAAATTATGGTGCCGGCTTAGAAGAAATATTCAAAGTCGTTTTATTCAAAACTTTTATATCGGAGTGTTAAAAAGTGTTCCTTAGTAAATGTTGTAAATTTTATCTAGTTTTACCCTGTCTAACTGAAAAGGGATGGTTTCGTGTGACATTTTTGAGTTATTTGACAAAAACATATATATAACCATGTATAATTCGATATATACATTTATATTTCCAATTCCCATACAAACTAAGGCAGTTAGGACATATATAATCATGTATAAATTGATATATACATTTATATATCCAATTCCCATATAAACTAAGGCAGATAGGCCATATATAATCATGTATAAATCAATATATACATTTATATATCCAATTCCCATACAAATTAAGGCAGTTAGGCCATATATAATCATGTATAAATCAATATATACATTTATATAACCAATTCCCATACAAACTAAGGCCGTTAGGTCATACATAATCGTGTATAAATCGATACATACATTTATATTTCCAATTCTCATACAAACTAGAGCAGTTAGGCTAAATATAATCATGTATAAATCGATATATACATTTATATATCCAATTCCCATACAAACTAAGGTAGTTAGGCGATATATAATCATGTATAAATCGATATATACATTTATATATCCATTTTCTATACAAACTAAGGCAGTTAGGTGATATATAATCATGTATAAATCAACATATAGGTTTATGTATTCAATTCCCATTGCAAAACAACGAAACCTTTAGTTGCAACATCGGAATTTTATCAAAAAAATGGATTTGTGTTCGCAATTTTTGAAATATTTTGACTAATTCCAAAAGATTTTAAAACGCTGATTTCAATAGTGCTATCCGTTTTTGGATAAATCCACATACACCCCGCGAAAAATCGAAATCTTTAGTTGCAAAATCGATTTTTTCCTTCAAAAATTGAGTTTTTTCCGCGATTTTCAAAATGTTTTGATTGGTTTTGATAGATTTTGAGTCGTTGAATTCGAAAATGTTATCCGTTTTTGGATAAATATACATACCTTCGCGAAAAATCGAAATCTTTGGTTGCAAAATCGATTTTTTTTTTCAAAAATTGTATTTTTTCCGTGATTTTCAAAATGTTTTGATTGGTTTTGATAGATTTTGAGTCGCTGAATTCGAAAATGTTATCCGTTTTTGGATAAATCCACATACACCCCGCGAAAAATCGAAATCTTTGGTAGCAAAACCAAAATTTTACTAATGACATGCACATTTTTTTTCGCGATTTTCCAAATGTTTTGATCGATTCTCATAGTTTTCGAGTCGCTGATTCCGAATATGAAATCAGTTTTTGGAAAAAAAAATTTTCCCCACACCTATACCAATTTGAAGTTTGAAAAATTGCCAACTTTGAAGCTTAGTTTAACTATGAAGACGATGATAAATTTGTAATTTTTTTGGTTTGGTATAAAGATTGTACTTTTGTCTACACAATGCATTCATTAAAATTATTAATTTCATTCATTAAGGGCCTTAAAATTGCATTTGAAAGTCACGATTTTGGCCAATTTTGGCTGCCCCTGATAAACCGGTTTTGTATGGGAAAAATCGTAAAAGTTTAAAAAAATTAAAATTACACCGAAGTAGGTTTGGCTTACTGCTAACCAGGCGTAAATATAAATTTATTAAAAATTATACTCCTACTATTTCTTACCTTATATATATTTATATATTTATATATATATATTATATATATATGTATATATTTATATATATATATATATATATATATATATATGTATGTATACATGCACATATATATCATGTCGATTTTTGTAATACTGACACTCAATAAATTTAATTATTTATCTATATATTTCATTTATTTATATAGTTAGAAAAATCATCGAATTCAAATTTTTTTTCAGATAAATGGGGTTCGAACTAGCGAACCTCGAACTGTTATTCTAGCCTAAACCGTATCTTTACGACCTCGGCCATTTGCTCACTCGAAATGACATATTTTTACCTTTATAATAATTTTATGTTAGCGAAGGTCAAAATAAGACTTTATATTTTTACAAATAGAAGACATTTCTGTATAACCAGTTGGCCGAGATCGTTAAGTTACCACTACGGTTGCTCATTGTTTCTGGGTTCAAATCCCGAAGAGGCTTAAAAAATCAAATGTCTAGTTTTTCATAATTATCAAATATTAGTTCAAAATATTAAATTCAGGTGTCGCATTTCGACCTTGACACTTAGAATATTTCTGAAAAACTCAAGGTTCGCACTTGACTGTAAGAGAGATATATAAAGATATATATATATATATATATATATATAATATAAAAAAAGATGACGAAGGTAGAGGAAGAACGGGGAAAAGAGAAGGGTAGAGGCAGGCGATGAATAAGAGAGATGTGTATGAGACATATTCTTTATTCAAATTCAATATTAATACAATATGAGAATAAAAATAACTATTATCATCAATAACTTAAATAGCCGAGTGGTTAAGGTGACCACATACTCGGTGAAATCACTCTGGAGGCACAAGGTGAGGCGGATCGAATCCAGCTGAAGGCAAAGACGACTAACTATGAAGCAGAAAAAATGGAGCAGTGCTGGTGGCTAGCTGTTGGCGAGCGCAAAGGGTCCTGAAACGAACACACGAAGTGATGGTCAACCTGAGGTCCATGATGCGAGAGGTTACACACAGAGAGACCATGCAAGCCGAAACCGAAAATCTACCCAAAAACCACAACATGCGAAAAAATAACACAAAAAAGGAAAAAAATGTGAAAAAAAAGCGAAAAAAGGAGGAGAAGGAGGAGGAAGAGGGAGGGAGAACCTAAAAAAAACCCCCTAAGTCCCAGATCAATTTTTCTCTTTTCTGTTCAATGTTGAAACTTTTTTATGTTTTTTAGTGTTCCCTCACACCAATTCCCAAAGCCAACACTCGAATGAAATGAAGTCCACGTTGAAATTTTCACAACGAGAAAAAATTACTGGGACTTAGTTAAATTTCTTTAACTTTGCCCCAATAAAATTTTCTCGTTGTGAAATATTCAATGTGAGCCTCATTCATTCGAATGTTGGCTTTGGGATGATATAGCATGCAAAATTAACACGTCTGTCTTAATCGAAAAGGTTTCACAAAATTTGGACTTAGAAAAAAAATTATCAGAAAGGACTTAGAAAAAAAAAATTATTCGAAGGAATTATAATCAGAAAATTTGGACTTAGAAAAAAAAAAATATTTGAAGGAATTATAATCAGAAAATTTGGACTTAGAAAAAAAAATTACTCGAAAGAATTATTTAATTAATCGTTGAAATAAAATTATATTAATCGAATAAAGAGTGTTTATATGACTTGATAAAATATGTGAAACCTTTACAATTAATCGAGACAAAAACAAATGTAGTTGACTTGAACGTATTGAAATATTGGAAAAAGCTATAAAAGAAATTCAAAAAAACTTGTAAAATAAAATATTAAAACATGTTCAAAAACTTTAAAATTTAAAAATTCAAAACTGTTAAAGAGCTCATTGATATCTTTTAGAAATTGAGTTAAATATGGATCAAATAATAAACTTGTATACAAAATTATGTTTTATCCAATCGTTCAAGTCAACTCTTCAAAACTTTGATTGTATGTCCTAATATAGCATGCAAAATTAACACGTCTGTCTTAATTGAAAAGGTTTCAGAAAATTTGGACTTAAAAAAAATTATTCGAAAGAATTATTTAATTAATCGATGAAATGAAATTATATTAATCGAATAAAAATTGTTTATATGACTTGATAAAACATGTGAAACCTTTACAATTAATCGAGACAAAAACAAATGTAGTTGACTTGAATAATATACAAATAATAATAATAATATTCCAATACAAATTATTGGAAAAAGCCATGAAAGAAATTCATAAAACTTGTAAAATGAAATAATAAAAAATGTTCAAAAACTTAAACATTAAAAATGTCAAAACTGTTTAAAGCTGATTGTTATCCTTTAGAAATTGAGTTAAATAATTTTTACAACTTGAATCGAATAATAAACTTGTAAATTATTGGAAAAAGCCATGAAAGAAATTCAATAAAACTTTTAAAATGAAATAATAAAAAATATTCAAAAACTTAAACATTAAAAATGTCAAAACTGTTTAAAGCTGATTGTTATCCTTTAGAAATTGAGTTAAATAATTTTTACAACTTGAATCGAATAATAAACTTGTAAATTATTGGAAAAGGCCATAAAAAAAATTCAATAAAACTTGTAAAATGAAATAATAAAAAATGTTAAAAAACTTAAACATTAAAAACTTCAAAACTTTTTAAAGCTGATTGTTATCCTTTAGAAAGTGAGTTAAATAATTTTTACAACTTGAATCGAATAATAAACTTGTAAACCAAATTATGATTTGTCTAATCATTCAAGTCAACTCTTCAAAACTTTGATTGCAAGTCTTGATCAAAATTGTTTTTAGCAATAAAAGAATAAAAATCTATAAATTAGCTATGCAGCAATATAATTGAATAAATTTGAATTTAAATTGAATAAAAGCTGCATTTAATTAACAATTTGGTAAGTCGTATTTGAGTATTTGAAATAATTTGATCAAAACCAACAATCGTGTTATCCATAAATAAGAATGATCATGCAGACAATGTCGCTACAGGGAAAACATATAATTCTTGATACTGGAAATTTAATTTTAAAAATCGTTTCCGTAGAATAATGAACAAGAGGTATTATAAGAAAGAGATTTTTGTATCAAAGTAAATTTGTAATTTGTAATTTTTAACAAAATACCATCAATTTAGGAGTACCACAAGGAGGGGTGCTAGGGCCACTTCAACAAACAAGTAATCAATACAAAAATCTAATATAAATTATTATTCTGAATTCCACACAAAATCTGCTATATATAGAACAAAAAAATTCTATTTATGAAATAATAATTAAATTTCAATATCTTTGATACATACGAGAAGTACAAACTTTATTGTTTAATATTGATTTAGAACATGTATGAATAAATAAAAAAAGACTGAATCAACATGTTTTTCCCATAACAAATTAAATAAGAACTTAAATCTTTTATACATATGTCTGCCAAATTAATTTAAAATATTTTATTCGCATAATACTTGTTGTTGAATAAACAAAAAATAGATTTTATAAGGTATACTATGTAAAAAATGATATGGCACTCGAATATTATGATATAAACAATATTTTCAGCAGATATATGTATATAACTATATTAATAAAGCACGAGCCAGAAAATATTCCACTAAATTATATACAGACTGCTTTATAAATGATATTCAATAATAAATAATAAAGCGACAAGTTCTCAAGGTACCTTCAAATTAATTTTCATTTATTAATTTCATTTAATATGAAAAACAAGTATTAAATACATAATTAATAAAAAATATTATTGTTACAAACATAAAAAGTAGCATGTAACACAAGCTCGGTCAATAATTGTAAACTCCTTTCAGAAAATAAATTATAAGTATATCTTTTTATGAATTTCTATTGAAATTATAGTTTCACTTAAGATGACAAACAATATTGTGTTAATTAATCATAAACAAAATTCTGACAGTTCAAACAAAATGAATTTTTAACGACTTCAATAAGATACAAATAAATTAATTATTCCAAGTTATGTTATAGGCAATATTGGCAATCAAATTATAGAATAAATTATATCATATTATATTAAATTTCGACCAAAAAGGAAATATCTTGGCATTTAAAAAATTTAGTGCATATTGGATATATAAAATTGACATTCAATATTTTTAAATTAAATGCAAAAGTAAAAAATCTGATATTTATATAAAGTATTATATATTCAGATAACGGTACTGCGTGTTGATTCAGAAAAAATCTAATTTATTCATGATTAAAAAAAAATATTTCATATGACTAAATAAAATTAAAATAAACAAAACACTATGATGCGTTGAATTAATTATCGAAATGTAAAGAAATTTGTGTAATAAAAATATAACATTATTATAATGTATCACGTATATTATAAGAACTTCTGCAAAAGCAACAAAATATTTGATGTGGCAAAAACAGCGTTTGCCGGGTCAGCTAGTATATATATATATATATATATATATGCATATATATACATATATAAGTCAAATATTGAATATTAAAACAGATGCAACAGATATGGTATTATAAACGCCTGTATATAATTCCAGAAAAATATTCTCTGACTCGCTTTGTATAAAACATGCTTTGCACTCACATTGTTAGATATCCTCTGCAGCATTGGGTCATTACTGGAACCACCTCTGGAGCATCTGCCAGAAATCTCAAGTACTCGACAAAAAATCACTACTTTAGAACCACTACATAACTTTAGTCCTTTACAAGTCTATTTGACCTGTTGCAATTGTCCGAGTAAAATCTTTACACAATACACGACACAAAACTTATATTAGAGACTTTCGTGAATTTAGAATTCGATAAAAACAGATATGTGGTGGAAGGTGGAAGTACCATATATAAATTATACTATTGATAATTGCATGTATATAATTTAAGGATACATTGGGGCTGTAAATAAATTGTTTAAGTATAACTTACAAAAGCACATATATAAATTATATTATTGATAATTGCATGTATATAATTAAAGGATACATTGAAGCTGTAAATTAATTGTTTAATTATAAAATTGATTCAAAATGGAGACCCTGAAAGAGATACTTATCAAACTATTCAACGTACTTCCACAACATACCCATTTTTTGGCTTTTAATTAACGTTTCACGATAAATTTATTATATCAGATAGATCTACTTAATTAATTAAACGAGCTTGATGCACAAATTAATTAAAACTAATCAAGGATTTAATTAAAAAGTCTTAATTAACGCGAGGACATGTTAATTCACGAAAAATTCTTTGACAATTGAGTGGCGAGTGAAGTTATCAACATGTTTCAAAATGGCTGTCACCTCTTGTACAATTTAAAGCGCGAAATTCAAATAGAAATTTAAAACATTGTGAAATTTACTTATTTGAATATATACGGTAGAAGGCTATGTGTATAATCTTTGGAAATGTGATATGAATATATACGCGGTAAAAAAAGCAAAGTCTTTAGATATGTGATAGATAAAGTTTTATATAAAATATATAGATTTGAAATATGTTTTTTACTGTATACATTCATATCACATATTCAAAGACTTTACACATTGCCTTAAAATCATAATATTTATCTATTATTTATATATATATTTATTAATAATTAATAATATTTGCAAAGTAATAATATTTGCACAAAGTTCTCATCAGGAACTAATTAAATAAAAATACTAGTTTATTTAAATATATTTTATTAAAATATATATGTTACCTTCAAATGTTCAAAAGTTATTTAAATTAGTAAAATTGTGAAAATATAAAATATGGACAAATAACATTCAAATATGTTATGAAATAAATACAAAATTTATTTGAATTGTTTACAAAATAATAATTAAACCTACAGCAGATATAGAACATTATTACAATTAAACAATCATTGATAACATTGTTTGTTTATATTTATAAAACATATAAAAGATAATTCATATTGTATACATACTTTCAAAAATTAATTAATAAATCTTTTAACTCCATTTTTAAACATTTTTTACAAGTATATAATTATTTCACTGCACAGCCATTTGACAAAATCCCTTTATATTTATAATTACCTATTGTTGTGCACAACGATGTGCTTTTTCAGGATGCTTGGACGTGCAAATGTTTTATCACATACTGTACACTTATAGGGCCGTACCTCACTGTGAACGGGCATATGAGTTTTCAAGCTACTCGCTTGTGTGAATGTCCTAGAGCATATTTCACATTTGTGAGGTCGTTCCCCAGTGTGAATGAGTTTATGTGCTCTCAAAACACTCATTTGTCTGAATGTCTTATGGCATATTTCACATTTATGAGGACCAACCCCACTGTGAATGAATTTATGTGCTCTCAACTTGGCCATTTTTTTGAATGTCTTATGGCATATTTCACATTTGTGAGGACGAACCCCACTGTGACTGAGCATATGATTTGCCAAACTACTTGCTCGTGTGAAAGTGCTAGAGCATATTTCACATTTATAAGAACGAACCCCACTGTGAATGAGTTTATGTACACTCAAGCTACTCGTTTGTGTGAATGTCTTATCGCATATTTCACATTTGTGAGGCCTTTCTCCAGTGTGAATAAGCACATGTCTACTCAAAGTATTCACTCGAGCAAATGTCTTATTGCACGTTTCACATTTGTGAGGTCGTTCCCCAGTGTGAATGAGTTTATGTACAATCAAGCTACTCATTTGTGTGAATGTCATATAGCATATTTCACATTTGTGAGGACGATCCCCACTGTGAATGACTTTATGTACTCTCAAGGCAGCCATTGTTCTGAATGTCTTATCGCATATTTCGCATTTGTGAGGACGAACCCCACTGTGAATGCGTTTATGTGTTCTCAAATTGTCCATTTGTGTGAATGTCTTATCGCATATTTCACATTTGTGAGGCCTTTCTCCAGTGTGAATAAGCACATGTCTATTCAAAGTATTCACTCGAGCAAATGTCTTATTGCATGTTTCACATTTGTGAGGTCGTTCCCCACTGTGAATGACTTCATGTGCTCTCAAGAAAGACATTTGCGTGAATGCCTTATCGCATTTTTCACATTTGTGAGGACGAACCCACTGTGAATGAGTTTGTGTTCTCTCAAGGCACCCTTTTGTCTGAATGTCTTATCGCATATTTCACATTCGTAAGGACGCTCTCCAGTGTGAATAAGCATATGCTCTTTCAAGTAACTTGGATAGTTGAAACTCTTATTACATTCTTTACATTTATGTGGTCTCTGTGTACTCTTACTTTGTTTTTGATTATCAGATAATTTATTCAATGTTGAATCTGTCTTTCCATTACAAACACAAACGTGTTGATCAAATTCCAATTGTCCAGCAAATGCTTCATTGCAAATTGTGCAAACAAAAGGCTTTTCATCTGCATGAATTTTCAGATGTATATCTAAGGCGCTTGAATCTGGAAAAGTATCTGAACAAAATGGGCAATCATGATAATGTACCAGCATATGCTGTTCTAAATCATGCTGCCCTGTAAATGATTCATTACATATATCGCATTCATAATGAGATGCTTCATAGGATTCCTGTTTGACTTCATCTTTTATTGTTATATCGGAATTCATGAATCTCTCCAGACATGTTTCATCATCTTCAGGCTCTTCTTTTATTTCACATTTAATGTCTTCAATAGGAAATTCTGGTGGTTCGGTTTTAACCTCCAGAATGGAATCAGATAGAGAAACAGCCATTGGTTATCTGAAATTTATTCAATATTTGTAATTAGCAGTGATTACAGTATGAAGAAAATGCATTTTTATCTGGTACAAGTATGTAAATTTCATAACCTCAAAACGAGCATCTACCTTGCAGAGCGTATGTAGATATGTATTAAAACACACTAAGATTTATTTATTATGTCAACTAGATCTGATTTTAGTATTAAAAATCAAGTATTAATTAATAATTATAAAAAAACACGTACCTGCACTAATTTAACTAAACATTTGAACAGTCAAACATTCGGTACACTATAATATTGATCGTTACAAAATAAATATAATATTGGAAGCTGTAATTAAAAATAATGCACAAATAATATATTCACTTATTAAATTGTGTAGTTTGTTATAATATAACATTATTTAATAAAATAAATAAATTATAAGAAACTGTCAGCCATTTTTATTTAAACTTGCTGTCACCTGTCAAACTTGTTATGAATCTAACTTCAGACTTCACTTTTCGTCTCGAATTAAATCTGGCAACCCTGTCAAACTTGACAGCTGACAGTTTGAATTTCGTACAAATTCCAAACGTCAAATTCTAACCAAATTTAAACAATTAAACTACCGTCTTTTACACCTGCAAAAATATTCATATATGTAATAAAACCAAAAAAAAAACTGACCTTTATTTTCTCAAGTTATGGAACTCTTGGGCTCCGGAGACATGTTACCAGACCACTTGCAAAGACGTTGGTCGCACGTCAGAAAGGTTCTGGAGCGCCCAGGGCCCTTCTGTCACCCCGAATTCGAAGCCTCGTCTGATAATCTACAGTTTTTAATGAACTCTTGCAAAATCCTGGTGATTGGAGCTGGAGGTTTGGGCTGCGAGCTCTGAAAGATCTAGGAATGATGGGATTTAGACATATTCATGTTATTGATATGGACACTATTGATTTGTCTAACTTGAATCGATCGACAGTTTCTGTTCAGGAGGAAGGATATCGGGTCCAGTAAGCTGAGTGTGCTGCCAATTTTGTAAAGAACAGGTAATAAGAGATAGAGTAATAGGTAATTGGTA